TACGAATGTTGAAGTAGAGATTAATTTTTAATATTAAATGAAAGTTTGAATAAGAAATTTAAATTAAATAATAATACGACTCTCTGAATTCTAGAAAATATTATATGAACAACATTTATAATAAATCTTATCATTTATATTTCAAGTTACACGAAGAACAAAATTGTAAAGACATGGAAAGAACTGGAGAATATTTTCGTATTATATGTGCAACTTATTAAAATTATTAAAACGAAAAAAAAAAACATTTTCATGTGACATACGTTCAAATTTCCGTTCTAGGTTCAGATAAAAAGAAGTTAAAAACAAGGATCTTTTATTTTTCTTCTCATTCCAAGTAACAGAAAACGAAAGTATTTTTTTAGTCATTGCACAGTGAACTGGTCCCTTTAAGATTTTTAGCACTGAAGGGAAGGTTAGCGAATCGGAGATCGTGTTTAAGGTTACTATTAATGCAGTTTATTGAATTGTTATCGATGAGCGCGGGCGCGACTAGCGTGGTGTCGTAGGACTAGCAACTTAGGACAGACTGAGCTTTTGGAGTTGCGCGTTTGTCTCTTTTATAGTGGAAGAGAAGAAAGGAATAGATGGATTTTCGTAGGAAAGGAGAAAGTTGGGAAAGTCCCGTGCGGGTCGAGGTGTCCAGATGTGAGGAGAATTGTTTTATTAGGGGTGCGTGATTTTTAGGGAATTTTGAGGATTGGGAACGGTACTTGTTTTATTGCTAGCAGCCGCGCTCAGGTAGAGAGATGCGACGCCACAGATTTCAACAAAAATGAAGTCATTTTGTCCAGTTTCGAGAAAAGTTATTGCGTTTTAAACGGTGTTCGAATACTTTTTTCCAGGATTAGTGTAACGCAGGCAAGTAACTGTCCAAGCAATGTCTAGTACTTTTCTAACAACGGCAAGCAAAGACTGGTCCCTGTAATGAAGTTCATTCTGCTCGACAGAGAATCGCGTGGAGGTCCGTCAAAGTAAAAACGATCAAGCAATGTCCGACTCAACTCTATTAGGCCTGAATCCATTGAGCATGTATCCTGCACAGAATCAATACCAGTTCGCAATGCCATCCTCCAGCTCCTATCAGCAGATCGTCAACCAAGAGCCGACGCTAGCGAGCCAAATAAATACCCGAGCCGCGACACACGAACCAGCAATAACACCGCAAAACCAAGCCGCAACAACGATGGCGAGCACACTTCGTGAAATAAAACCTGAATATGTATCGAATGCTTTACCTTCGTCGATGGTAGTGTTAAACCATTCGCCATGGAGAACGGCGCAGTACGATGTGCAAAATCAACAGAGAAATTATCCTGACCCTAGACCGATGACCGACGCGGAGAGGATCGACTATGAAAAATCGAAAAACCATATAGTGAGTACTTCCTTTTAATCGATTTACTAGCCATCTAGAAAGCAGCACTTCTGTTCAACAGCACCGAGAATTACGACTTCTTTTATGGTTACGATATTATTAGAGTTTCTTGTTCTTCGTAATTTTCTAGAAGGGAAAGATCATTTATGCTTCTTATCTATTACGTGGACAAATTCTTGTTCGACTGTCGATTTCATGTGTTCACGCCTGAGAAAAATACAAACCAAAAAATATGTATTAAAATTGAAAACGACATAGAAAAAAGCCAATTAACAGACTTCCGGTACTAAAGTCTTAGAATTACGGAAAGAGTTTTACAATAAATTTGCACTAATTGACGCTCAGCTTGGAAACGAAAGTGGATAATTTGGGAAGAGGAAGTGTGATTATTCCAATCTTGCGGCACGTTTTTATAGTTTCCGATTGTCAACAATTATAAAAATGAGGTGCGAGACTGGAATAATCGTATTTCTTCTTCCCAAATTGTCCATTTTTGATTAAAAATTGAAGGAAAATTAGGGAGAATTTAATTATAGTTATTATATTATGTTATATTATATATAAATTGATTTGAGCATGAATTGATACCAGAATAAGAACAATTGATTTTGATTTTTGATTTACTACGTTTATGTCAATAATA